GATGTAATACATAGCACTACAACCCCCAGTATCCACCAGAAAGGTGGCAGGTACTGCTCTGTATACCCCTCCTTATAACCCTCTATATACCCCTCCGTATACCCTTCCCACATATACATAGGAGTAAGAGAAACAATAGACTCCCAGTAGAAGTTGTGGAGCATGAAAGGGAAGCACTGGAGACATGAGGGTAAAGGGAAGGAGAGAATGGACATGAAAGGGAAGCACTGGAGACATGAGGGTAAAAGGAAGGAGAGAATGAACATGAAAGGGAAGCACTGGAGACATGAGGGTAAAGGGATGGAGAGAATGAACATGAAAGGGAAGCACTGGAGACATGAGGGTAAAGGGAAGGAGAGAATGAGCATGAAAGGGAAGCACTGGAGACATGAGGGTAAAGGGAAGGGGTGGCTGAAGGCTGACTGACAGACTACACCTTACAAAGGGAGGATAGTAACACAGAGGTAGAATGACCCAGAGCGATACATCCCCGGCCCTCAGACCTCAGCTCCCCCCTTTCTTGTGATGAAGTGAGGGTCCGGTTGGAGAGAGGCCCCTCCTCCGACACTCACTGAGACAGGAAAACTGGCGCTGTGGATGTCTGATGGAGAGTTGGGCCGCCTTGGTCTTTCCTGGTAGCTCCTCCCCCCTCCGGCCTGTGTTCTGTCACTTCAGTTCTGCGGTCCTACATCCCTGGTCCCTGACTAGTCCTAGTGGCAGCCCAGTCCCAGTGGTGATGTGACACTCAGGCACTTCTGGTCCGGCCTTACAATCCTCCGCCTGGCAGTCTCTTGGAGAGTGATGAGAACGCAGACAAAGATCGTGACCACGCAGCACTGCAATGCTCAGATCCTCCCTAGTCACAGATGACAGTCCTAATGCTGCTCCTAAAGGTCCCGCTACAAATCCCAGACCGCCTGCAGGTAAATGAAGAGTTTCCGGGCTGACCTTGGGTATAGGTCCCAATGCTGTACACAGGGTGAGGCTGACACATCAGGAATGAGAGGCGCAGGGGCCACAGATCGAATGGAAGAGGCGGCTGTAGTCAGGAATAGTTACAAATGTCTGAGCCGGTCCACCTACCAGGAGAATCCGCCCTCTGAAGTCACGCTGAAGTCAATGATCCATTCCGGGCTGTGAGCAGGTGAAAAGGGAGAGAGGTGAATCCAGCTGGCAGTCCTGAGGTAACGGCTGACCCCGCCCACTGACAGGAATGACTATAGAGGGGAAAGGTTACTCTCATTGGTCAGCTGTTTTCCCGCCAAAAGTCTGTCACCAATCCTGTGCTCAGCTGACTGAAGGTCTGTCCAGCCACTGAGGTAAATCTTCCTAGAAATAGCAGGCAGCTTGTAACCTGAAAGACAAAGCAGAAAGAACCATCAAAGCCGCACCAGAGAGACAGGTACATGACCGTCACCACAGAACTCTATTGAATATAAATAAGTTTAAAAAAACACATGGGTGATAGGGGCCACAATCCCATGGGGCCACTTTTCTTATTTTGTTTTCGTGGCCTAAAGACCGTGACACACTGCACGCGAAGCAGCGCGGAGCGGTGGCGCGCTGCCTTTGCGAGCAGTGTGTCATGTCACTTTCTTCTCGGAACCTCAGCTTGCGAGAGCTCGCAGAGATGAACAATTTCAACTTCAGCCAATCGGCTCGCGTGCAGTGTGTCACGGCCTTAACAGGAGCCAAGATGCAGAGAAATGACAGGGAGGTCCTCCTCAGAGATATACTGGAGGCTGTGACTATGAGTAATACCTCGTTAGTAAATCTTACAAGTAACGTGCAAGGTCTGAAAGAGGAAGTCCAATAAGTACCCAACCTAAGTTATCTTATTATCTTTTTTATAATTGACCTCTCTGACTGCTCAACAACACGGAGCACGCACAGAGGACTTAGAACATAGACCCTGGCGTAGTGCTGTGCTGCACCACGTCAGCCTTTGATAGAACACCGCCATCAATCGCTGTGATCCGCTCCCTTGGGAGGGGGGCAAGATAAAATCTTGCACCAGGGCCCTTTGTTCATTAGGCCCACCACTGTATCAGAGACTAAGATTGGGACGCTCCACTACCAACAGACAAACATTCAGGATGGAGGTCCTGGAAGCAATCTCTACATGCCTCAGATGGAATCCACATACCACGCTGCTACACTTCAACCTCCCTTGCTGCAAGTCAGAGAAGAGAGAGTCACATCTTCTGAGATGCATCTACTGAGGCCATAGCAGCTGTCACCTACCTCAAGGTGAGAGACCCCTCTAATCACACCCATGGGGGAGGGGGGGTCTCTGTTTGGGAAGGATAAGTTGGCACCTAAGCCTGAGCACACAATTCCTAGGCTTGGACTCTGTGGGTCTGTGCTAGCTGTAGAAGTTGCAGACTTCATACTGCGTGAGCGAGACATTCAGAGAGAGGACATCAAGTTCTACGCAGACAGCAAAGTTCCTCTGGGCGACATCTACAACCAGACAAAACGCTTCTATGTCTATGTCAGCCACCGTGTAGAAAGGATCAGGTGCAGGGCCCCGTATTCTCACCACTGGTGGCCCCCAGGGACAAAGGCTGCATTCCTGATGGCCGCAGAGGCATTAGGAGGCGAGGCTGGTTGCTGAGCAATCACCTGTGCCTGCCCCTGTTCCTCCCCTCTTGTGCCTGCGCCTCTCACAGCCTTTTATAGAACACAGGCAATTCCTCTCCACGCTGACTGACAGCAGAGGCGGAGCTAAGGCGGGGCTCCAGCTGTGTGCTTAAAGGGACCTCCCCCTGGCATAGAGTGAGCCAAGCTGAAAGGTTCAAGCTGCTGAGTGTGAGTAATAACCCTTCCTGTGCCAGAACTGCTGCCCTGAGACCGTGTGAACTTAACCCTTTCTGTGCTGGGATTGCTGCCCTGAGACCCTATGGACTTAACCCTTTCAGACCTGGTTCCCACCTGGGCGTTTTACAGCGCGTAGGAACGCTCTGCAAAACGCCAAAAGAAGTACAGGAGCTTCTTTGGGGCGTATTTGCCGTGTGTATTCATTGGGATACAGCCAGGTAGCCCTCGGAAACGCGCGCTTGACGTGCGTTTTTTTAGTGCAAATCGCGGTAAAATCGTGTGGCACGAAGCGCGACAAACGCGCATATTTGATACGCCTAGGTGTGAACCCAGCCTCAGTTCCGGAATTGCTGACCTTAGATCCTATGGACTTAACCCTTTCTGTGCCGGATTGCTGACCTTAGATCCTATGGACTTAACCATTTCTGTGCCGGATTGCTGACCTTAGATCCTATGGATTTAACCCTTTATGTGCCGGATTGCTGACCTTAGATCCTATGGACTTAACCCTTTCTGTGCTGGGATTGCTGACCTTAGATGCTATGGATTTAACCCCTTCTGTGCTGGAACTGCTGTCCTGTGAATTTAACCCTTTCTGTGCTGGGATTGCTGCCCTGAGACCCTGTGGACTTAACTTGTTCTGTACCGGATTGCTGCCCTTAGACCCTTAAACTCTGTGAACTTAACCCTTTATGTGCTGGGATTGCTGCCCTTAGACCCTGCAGACTTAACCCTTTCTGTGCTGGGATTCCCGCCCCCGAGAACCTATGGACGTAACCCTTTCTATGCCGGGATTTATGACCTGAGACCCTGTGGACTTAACCTTTCTGTGCTGGATTGCTGCGCTTAGATCCTATGGATTTAACACTTTTTGTGCTGGAAATGCTGCACTGTGAATTTAACCCTTTCTGTGTTGGGATTGCTGCCCTGACACCCTGTATACTTAACCCTTTCGGTGCCCAAAACTGCTGCACTTAGACCCTGTGGACTTAACCATTTCTGTGCCGGATTGCTGCCCTGAGACCCTATGTACTTAACCCCTTCTGTGCCAGGATTGCTGCCCTTAGACCCTGTGGACGTAACCCTTTCTGTGCTGGGATTGCTGCCCTGAGAACCTGTGTACTTAACCCCTTCTGTGCCAGGATTGCTGCCCTTAGACCCTATGGACTTAACCCTTTCTGTGCTAGAACTGCTGACCTGAGACCCTGTGTACTTAACCCCTTCTGTGCCAGGATTGCTGCCCTGAGACTCTGTGAACTTAACCTTTCTGTGCTGGGATTGCTGCCCTTACACCCTATGGACTTATGCTGCCCTGTGACCCTGTCCTCCTAATCTCGCTGTGTCGGACTACACTCTGTATGTTGATCTCTTTTAAAAAAAAACTCATTGCCAAAGGGTGCATAAAACTACTCTTGCTCTCTGTGTGTGTTCTGTGTCTCCCACATCCTCTGTCCCTTACAGCAATGCAGAATAATACCATCAGCTACAGAGGACTACAAATCCCAGCAATACATTATACAGCAATGCAGAATAATACCATCAGCTATAGAGGACTACAAATACCTGCAATACATTATACAGCAATGCAGAATAGTATATGAATTTGCTACATACTCTGTGCTGCTGCTCTGCTCCGGGGTGCCGGCCTGATGTCTCCAGCGGAGGGTCAAATAATGAAGAAGTGGAAAATGTTAATTATCTGTTAAGTTATGAATGAACATTGGAGTTCCCAGTACAGATCACTTCCAGGTCATTCACAATATGAGGAGATGGTCAATGTTTATGATCTCCTCAGTTAGGAATAAACATTGACATGCTCACTAAACATCAATTCATCTCCATTCACAATATGGAGAGAGGCAAATCTTTATTATCTCCTTATTTATGACTTGTCTTATTACAGCCAAATACATCACCTTTGTGTTCCTTTGTCTGTGAAATGTGCTAATGTTATGAAGGGAAATTCCTCACACAACGTTTCCACAGATTATTAAATGACCTTTATTCTTCCTCAGATATGGAGATTATTGTCAGGAATCCTCCCATGTATTATCTGTGTCCTCTGTATAAGGATTCCTAGGAATACGAGTCTCAGCCTCGCCCTGTGTAGGAGTGTACAGAACCCGTCACACTGGTTAAGGAGTGTCAGAGACTTTCACTTCCCTCTTCTGCTGTCAGCGATGGCGTCTGGTAATCTGAGAGCTGAGCTGGAATGTTCCATCTGTCTGAACATTTATACAGATCCTGTAACCTTGAAATGTGGACATAACTTCTGCCGGGATTGTATTGGTCATGTGCTGGATACACAGGAGGGGACTGGAGGATATTCCTGTCCGGAATGCAGAGATAAGTTCCAGGAGCGGCCTGCACTGCAGAGGAACAAAACATTGCGTAACATTGTGGAGAATTTCCTGTCTGCTCAGCCAGATCAGGAGGAGTCCGGGGTCCTCTGTACTCATTGTGTTCACACTCCTGTACCTGCTGTGAAATCCTGTCTGATGTGTGAAGCTTCTCTGTGTGACAACCACCTGAGAATCCACAGCAAGGCACCAGAACACGTCTTATGTGACCTCACCACTTCCCTGGAGAACAGGAAATGCTCCATCCATAAGATGATCCTGGAGTATTACTGCGCTGAGGACTCTGCCTGTATCTGTGTGTCCTGCAGACTGGATGGAGAACATCGAGGACATCAGGTGGAGACTCTGGATGAGGCCTCTGAGAAGAAGAAGAAGAAGAAACTGAGGAATGTTCTGCAGAAACTGATGACAGAGAGAGAGGAGACGGAGAAAAGAGTCCAGAGTCTGGAGGAACACAGAAGGAAAGTACAAGGAAAAGCAGCTGATGAAACAGAGAGAGTCCTGGGTGAGATCTCCGGGCAGGCAGAGCGGACCTCCCTCTACGTGACGGATATGATCCGGGAGCTGGAAATAAAGAAGGACGAGCTGTCCAGGAAGATGCGTCACATTGAGGAGCTGTGTAACACGACGGATCTACTGACTGTCTTACAGGAATCAGACACAGGTGACTTGTGTGATACTGAGGATGGAGATGATGAGGACAGAGAGAGACATGAAAGACTCCTCCATGATGGAGGGGATCTGGATGTGGCTGGGATCTCACACACATTACACACAGGTATATCTGATATCATGTCTGGGGTAAATGTACAGGAAGGTCCAGGCACACATGTCTATCCACATTCTAGTACACAGGATAAAGGTCACATGACTGCTGAACCATCCAGGCCACGCACCCAACCAACCCCCACCGTAAAACACTCACAGCTCCAGGCTGGAGGACATAATATTGGGGCTGTACAGCAAACATCAGGGGTGTCGGGGGTTACAGACATATTACTGGATGTGAACACAGCCGGTAATAATCTACTTATATCAGATGACAGGAAAACTGCAACTTGGTCAGATATAGATCAGAATCGTCCAGAAACTCCAGAGAGATTTCAGTATTCTCAGGTGTTGAGCAGTCAGAGTTTCTCCTCAGGGCGACATTACTGGGAAGTGGATGTCGGGGGGTCGGTGCTATGGAGAGTCGGGATGTGTTACCCCAGTATAGAGAGGAGAGGAGGTCAGTCATGGATTGGAGATAAGAAGTCCTGGGGTTTGGGGAGGTTGGGTAGTAGGTACTCCGTGAGACATGACAGTAATCAGATGCCATTACGCGGAAAACTCTCCAGTAACAGAGTCAGGATAGATCTGGATTATGAGGCCGGGCGGATCTCCTTTTATGATCTGTGTGACCCGATCCGACTCCTCCACACCTTCACCACCACCTTCACTGAGCCCCTCCATGCCGGGTTATGTGTATGGGGAGGTCATATAAAGATATCTGGGGGAATCACATATGAGAAATCTGCCCGGAGACTGGTGACATCACAGGGCGGAGAATCTGATTGGTGGAATACTCAGCCAATAGAAGGAAGCAGTGGACAGGAAATGACATTACTGATATATAAGGCTCTGCAGGCTCCAGGGATGTAATCTTCATCTGTCACATTTTTCCACTCACTTCCTGTCCAGGTGACAACATTTTATCAGACAGGAAATGAAGGAAAATCTACACCAGGGACATAGACAGAAATAAAAAGTATTTCCTGTGCTGGGGGAGGGGAAGGCTGGAACCTCTGTCAGGTTTTTATAAAGAAATATCCGGCACTCCTTACACACTATGGGGGGGATTTACTAAGACCGGAGCAGACAGAATCTGGATCAGCTGATCACAGGAACCAATCACATTCCACCTTCAGCTTCTTCAGTGAAGCTTTGAGAATAAAAGCTGGAAGCTGATTGGTCCAGATTGTGTCTGCTCCGGTCTCAGTAAATTCCCCTCTATATGTAGTAAATCCGAGGTGTTAGTAGAATATATTTGTGGAAGCCGCACGGCCCCGTCACCCCTCCCCTTCTGTATATGAGAATATTTATCAATGATTGGATATAGATATAATGATGGGACGGACTACAATCCCCATTCTCCCCTTCAGTCCCGGCACCTCTATGATCCTTATGGGGCAGAACAATGGTTACATTTCCTCTATGGTCCTATTCATGTGATAAAGAAAAATCCTTCTGATCTGCGTTACTAATGATGAGATGACATCACTAAGTGCTTCTATGCTCATGTTGGGTTCTTTCTAGAATAACAGGCTGACTTGCTGGAAGGACTTTACAGAAAGATGTGATTAGAACAAATGGTTGTTCTCCGGATCCTTGGAATGTCTTGTTGTAGAACACAGTGACAGTTGGTCTCCTTCTTCTACAATGAGGTATTTGGGAGTCTGGAGGTGGGACAAGCTGATGAGGTGTTCTGAGATGACAGAAATGAATGTCTCTTGTAATGAATGATGTGCTGCTTGTACAAATTCTTCACTCAATGATGCCATAGGTCACATGTTTATGTTTGGGGGCGGTCCTCCATGACAACTGTCCAGGATTGGAGGTCAGATGAAGAGGTCAGATCCTTGGTCCACCCGCCATGTCTAAGGATCTCCGTGTCTTCATCTCTCTACTTTCTCATCTTTACTTTTACTTTGTAACTCTTCTCTTCTAAATAAACTTTCTGAACCTTCACCGTGATCTCAGCTTGTTGGTTTCCTCATCACATCCCACAATATCTTTCTCATGAGTTGTCATAGCGATGGAACACACGGGGCAGATTTTGGGGGACAATCAGGACTTCCCATGGTCAGTATTGTCTTCCAGGAATCATTTTCTTCTATATATTAGACAAGAACACAGAACAGAATGGAAACAATATCTACTTCTGCTTCGTATGACCAGTGATCGTTATTATTACGATGGATTAAAGACTCAACCATTCCATAGTCTGTGAGCCCCCTTCCCCCCATAGATCACCCGGAGCCCAGCTACAAAGAGGTAAAATATATATGCAAAAATAGACAACAAGCCACAGAGTCATGTAACAAGCCCACCCAGCTGAAGGAAGATGAATGGAGCGGAATGCGTGCTGACGATATTCTTCGCCCGCCTGCTGTACGCGTTGCATACTTGCCCATTATGTAGACTTACCTCCAGCACTGACCCACTTACGCTGCCAGCAGCTGCTCTGCCCAAAGCTACCGCAATATCCTCTGTCCATTGTGGTATTGTGTGGCAATCCCACGGTGGATCTGGGGGTTGTAGTCACCCAGGACTCTCAGCCAGAGGGACTGAGCAGTTCCAGGAAACAAATGATTTTGCTGGGAAAGAACTGGCCTTGCAATTCTCTCCAGAAAACCTGGATTTGGCATGTGATCCTGGAACTGGGAGATTGCAAAGATGGGAGGGATGAAATTTCCATTCCTGGGTCCATGGTTTAGTAGGGTTGAGCACCTTATGATTGCACACCTGTGCGCAGCCCTTATGGAAAGGGTGCTGGCTAAGGCTGGGCACACACCTTACAACCATCGCAAGACTTTTGTCTTGCGATGGTTGTAAGGTACTTAAAGAAACGTACGATCTGCCCATCTTGGACAGGCAGGTCGTACTTGCGATGATCGCAAGCCACGCCCCCCTGAGGGGCGGGCTTCTGAAGACCGCAATGCCGAACGGGCAGTGTGCGCTTGCGCACACTGGCCCGTCCGGCTTTTATTGTACGAACATGCTGCACACCCGCCGAACATCGTACGATGCTCGGCGGGTTTTAGAACATGTTCGTAAGTTAAAAGTCGTGCGACCTTACAGTAGCAGAGGTTGCACGGCTTCCACACACCTTACGATAATCGTACGATCGCGGGATTTCCCGCGATTATCGTACGATTATCGCAAGGTGTGTGGGGACCTTAATGCTCTGGGCTCCACCAGGGAGACAGGAAAACTCCACCCAGGAGTCAGAGTGGAGTCCAGTGCAGCAGGGTGCTGCAAATTGGAAAACCCAGTGTGCAGGTTAGCACAAGACTGAGGCTGTCTGGAGGAATAGACAGTGGCCTGAGGTCTGAGGCCGGAGCTGCAAATGAAAAGCTGGGAGGCTGGATGTGCATGTGTTGCCAAGGGATGCTAAGGAACCCCTGCGAGGGTAATTGCTTTATGTTTGTGAACTTTCATTTAATAAAAGTGGGCAAGGAAGCCCTGAAAATGAAGATTTTAGAGTGACTGCGTCCTTAATGTGCTACTGTTTGGAGCAAATTCTCACACCATTCTTCCTGGTCCCCCTTCATTCTGTGTGATCATTGGGCTGCCTATGATGATGTAACTCGTCCTCGCCACCCGCCTCAGTTCCCGGCATTCTGATGATGCTAGGAAGGACGCAGGGTGGTACACGGCATGGTGCATGCACAGTACAGGGTGCGCACAAGATAAGAAATCGCTGGAGTTTATAAGCAACTGTTTATTGGCAGGAGAGCCTTGGCGTGTCTGTTCTGCCCCGAAAAAACCCAACAACTACATTTTAGCAGTTTTTGTTTTATTTTTTAGGTTTAGTTCTGTTTTAAGGGGCCATAAAAACAGAAACAGGCCAGGAGGTACCGAGATGAATGAGGCTCACAGTAAGCAGAGCAAACAGGGGACCAACAGATGGTGTGGAGACCATAAACAGGAAAAGGATGGGAAAAAAAAGTGAGGGGAAGAGAACTCTATTCTGCCCATAATCTGACACCCCGGAGATCTGTATTTCACGATTTCCAAAGAAATTAAGACAGGAAGTGAGTATAAATCTCTACAAAGTGAGCCATCAACAACACTGGCAGAGGAGCATCATGTGTGGCACTTTCCATCCTTAACTCTCCTCCACAGAAGGACCGTCATCCACAAGCTGGAACATCGTCCTCCAATCATCTCATCATCCCCTCCGGCCGTGCAGAGAAGACATTATCATTGGTGGCCATGATCATAATCAGAAACATCTTTTCCTTCCATTGTGCCGTCTACGGCCGGCCTCGATCTCCACCGAACTCCGTAACCCTACACATGGTTGGGACAAGGTCACCCAGTGTGCAGGATGACTATTCCAAACTGTACCCTCCTCTCCAGGGTTATGACTCATGAAGGCTGTATGGTGGACACAATTGGGCAAAGTTGACCTTGCCCAAGTCAGTCAGTGATGCCGACATTCCTCATTCACAGCTCCGCCTTCTACCCCTATAATACATTATATTCCATGTGTGGGGCATTACCATACATCAGAACCTGAGCAGCTTTACACTATGAAATAGTAATAGGCAGGGCCACCATTAGAGGGGGGGGGGGCGGCCGATACTCATGTGAGGGGCTCGGGCAGCCTGAGTGGCCGGGACCCTTACATGGGTATCGGTCATACAGGTGCCACATGAGGAGGTGGAGGTGGCCGTGCCCCTGCAGTGCCGGGCTGCATCGGAGGAGACCGGGCCACAGCAGTGGTGGAGGAGGCTGAGGAAAGAGGAGGTGGGGGGCGAAAGCACAGCAGCCTGCAGGCACACTCTGGGGCAGCGCTGGGGCCTCGGCTGGGAGGAACGAGCAGCAGACACTGGATTTCAGAGCCCACCACCTCTCCCTGCTGCATGTGTTCCCACCGCGAGGAGAGTCAATGGAGGTGTGTGCCTTGAGTCACATTGTTTGTAACCCTCTGTAACTGATGGAATTGTTCTGCATTCATCTAAAAAGTATTGCTGGGAGTTGTAGTCCTCTATAGCCGGTGTCACTCTGCATTGTCTTATAAAGTATTGCTAGGTGTTGTAGTCCTCTGTAGCCGAAGCCATTCTGCATTGTCGTATAAAGTATTGCTGGGAGTTGTAGTCCTCTATAACCGAAGCCATTCTGCATTGGCTTATAAAGTATTGCTAGGTGTTGTAGTCCTCTGTAGCCGAAGCCATTCTGCATTGGCTTATAAAGTATTGCTAGGTGTTGTAGTCCTCTGTAGCCGAAGCCATTCTGCATTGGCTTATAAAGTATTGCTGGGAGTTGTAGTCCTCTATTGCCAAAGCCATTCTGCATTGGCTTATAAAGTATTGCTGAGAGTTGTAGTCCTCTATTGCCAAAGCCATTCTGCATTGCTGTATAAAGTATTGCTGGGAGTTGTAGTCCTCTATAACCGAAGCCATTCTGCATTGCCTTATAAAGTATTGCTGAGAGTTGTAGTCCTCTATAGCCGAAGCCAATTCTGCATTGCCGTATACAATATTGCTGGGAGTTGTAGTCCTCTATTGCCAAAGCCATTCTGCGTTGCCTTATAAAGTATTGCTGGGAGTTGTAGTCCTCTATTGCCAAAGCCATTCTGCATTGCCTTATAACATATTGCTGGGAGTTGTAGTCCTCTATAGACAAAGCCATTCTGCATTGCCGTATAAAGTATGGCTGGGAGTTGTAGTCCTCTATAGCTGAAGCCATTCTGCATTACTGTATAAAGTATTGCTGGGAGTTGTAGTCCTCTATTGCCAAAGCCATTCTGCATTGCCGTATAAAGTATTGCTGGGAGTTGTAGTCCTCTATAGCAGTGATCCACAACCTTTTTTGTTTAGCTGAAAAATGTTTACCACGAAGCAAGGGGGGGGTGGGGGGTGAGGGGAGAGAGCAGGAGATGGTTTGGGGATGTTTCAAGCGCATTTATTGTGCACTTTATTTCTATTATTATTACATTATTAGCCCTGAGCTTGTTCTTCTGCTCTCGGGTGGCCAGTGAGGGCTTTCAGGTGGTCAGTTGTCCAGTATGGGCATTGTAAGAGCCAAACGGGGGGGATCTTGCACCACGGCCCTTTGTTCTTTAGGTCTGCCACTGGCCGGCGGTGCTCCTCCAGACATGCAAACTACATAAAAAGTGGCATCCCCAGTGTCCCTCGAGACACGCAAACTACTTAAAAAGTGGCATCCCCAGTGTCCTTTCAAACATGCTAACTCTACATGAAAAGTGACATCCCCAGTGTCCCTCGACACAAGCAAACCCTACATGAAAAGTGGCATCCCCAGTGTCCCTCCAGACACACAAAGTCTACATGAAAAGTGGCATCCACAGTGTCCCTCCAGACTTTCACACTGTAATGACCATTGAACCTGCACCGTAGTGAAATGTCCCATATGATATACAGGTGAAACTCGAATAATTAGAATATCGTGCAAAAGTAATGGCAGTAAGTGCTGCAAAAGGGGCCGAAACCAAGTACTGAGTACATATGCATGCTTGTACTTTTCAGAGGTCCGATATTGTTCTATGTACAATCCTTGTTTTATTGATTGCATGTAATATTCTACTTTTCTGAGGTTGTGGATTTGGGGTTTTCATGAGCTGTAAGCCATAATCATCACAATGATGACAAATCACGGCTTGAACTATCTTGCTTTGCATGTAATGAGTCTCTCTCATATATTAGTTTCACCTTTTAAGTTGCATTAGTGAAATAAATGAACTTTGCACGATATTCTAATTATTCCAGTTTCACCTGTACATTCTCACATTACCCCTCTATATGAAGGCACTGCATCAGGGCCAGCCCAATTGTCCAGGCCCTGCAGCTGTTTAATGCAGCTCTGTATCTGTTTACGCTTCAACTGGGACTGCTAGTACTTGTGGTTCCTCCCTTGATAGACTGTCCCTCCAGTACCATATTGCTGCCTCTGTGTTTCTGCTGAACCATCCATGCTGCACCATCTTGCCACCCCTAGGATCCTGCCGGACTGTCCCTGCTGTACTCTATTGCCGCTACTGTGATTGCCGCCATGCGATGCTGCCAGTTGTCCCTGACTGTACCATACAGCTGTCCTGAATCTCCCTTGATCTAACCTCGTCTCCAACGCATTGCTTCTGTGTACCAAATGATCTGAATAAATACCCCACACATTGGGTCCTGTGTGATTCGCCTCGATGTGCTCTCTCTCTCTGCGCTCCTAGTTCCTCACAATCTGGTTGGCAGCAGCAGGACAAGAGATGGCAGATAAGAGACTGCATACTGTGGGCAGAAATAGACTACCAGCATACCAGGACTGGACTCTGATCAGCCAGCAAGAAAAGGCCAGAGAATTGGGTCTTGGCTACAGGGGGCTCATCAAACAATAATTTGTTGGAATGCTAGAGCAAGGTGACCAGCCGGAATGGATGCCAGCAATACCCAGGCACTGCAAGGAGAAGTAGAGCCAACCCCCCGTGGACCTCCTGGTAGAGGCCAGTGGGTTATCTGGAATGAGGAGAAGATGGACACTTTGAGGAGAGGATGCCACACCAGAGAGGACAATTGCAATGATTGCAAAAGACCAAAAGAGATAACAGTAGTAGGAAGAGGACGAGTACTTTTCATACCAATATGAACTATTTGAGGTTCCTCACATGGTGAGGGTCCACTAGAAGGTAGGAGCTGCTGAAGCCCACCCAATAATGGACTGGACAATGGAAGAAAAATAACAAAACTCATGGCCATAGAGTCTCACTAGAAGATTAGACTGAGAATTAAAGAAATAGCTTGGGGAATTTCCGAAGTCTGTGGGAATCCCCGAGCTGCTATGCAACCATTAGAGTGCACCAGATTGTATACAAGATTATAACTAACTGTATACAGTACATGATATTGCCTGGTTTACCTAACTTGCAGCTGCTAGTGAGAGCAGTGTGTACGGTGCCAGTCTTCTGGAGAGCTGAAGGTACTGGGTGTATGGAGGAGAACGTAGAGATGAAATGTTTTCCTAAATTCTTTTTGTGTTTTAGTAATCTGGTGGTGAGATGTTGGTCAGGTTAGCTGTGTGCTCTCTGGTGTTCTCCAAGCATGGAGTGATTCTCTCAGTCACATGATGTGTTGAGCTTACTCCAACAGGATGCGCTAGAAATAACATTGCATGTTAAGGATGTTTAATATCTAAGCCAGTCAGCAGGCTTGGGGAGCCTGCTGACGGGCACATAGGTCTTCCCTCCAGGGTTGACTGTCTGTCGTGTCCTTAGGCCTTGAAGGTCTAACAGTGTGGGCAATTGCAGGGAGCCCCCCTCTTGGGAGGCCTCCCTGAAGAAGTTACTGGCTGCCATGGAGTGCTTTTAGGCCTAGAGGAAGTAGAACTGCAGGTGCGCCCCCCTCCCCCCCCTCCATAAAGGTGGAAGGGTGATGGACTGAGTTGGAAAGCACCACAGGAACCTTTTCGTTGCTATCCTGCCTTGAATCTTAAGACCGAGTAAACACATGAACCTCAGTTGTCAAGAACCACCCGTAAGTTTAAGTGTCCAGCCGGTAAAGCCGTGTCGGAAAGGGATTCAGAAAGTTTGAAAGACATGCAGGAGATCAGGGACTATGTTTAAGTGAACTTGCAGGCATCCTGTGCTCATTTCACCCTCCTTCATATGATCTTCATGAACATGTGCTATTAAACATCAACGCAAAGTGACTGGTGTCCATCATTCTGATCGTCCCAAGGACGAGAAGTTCCCCCCTAGAGGTATGTGCATGGGACATTTATCAACAAATAAATGGTTCTGGGACATTCATTATGGTTCTTCATCTACTCAGTAGTGACATATTTCCTTGAGTTATGTCTGCCTCCATACCAACAGCTCTACATAGGGAACCCATCAAAGTTCAGTTCACTAGACTACATCAAACCCAGCCGGAAATCCATGAACTCTGAATATAGCACCTGAACCCTATTAAAGAAACCCTATTTGGGAATGCCTTAGACCTGTATGTGCAGTAGATCAGGCCTTCTTAAACTTTTTCCACTCGTGACCCCTTTTTGACCGAGGACATTTTTATGTGACCCCAGCGTCGGACGGTCCTCCCTAAATCCCCCCCCTGCTGCTGTGGAGGGATGGTCGGCCACGGTCTCTGTCATCACCAACTACACCCCCTTACCTTTACCTCCAGCAGCTGTGCTCCGCTTCTGCTGGGTTAAAAAAAGCTCCACCCCTGGAAAAAAATCCTTCCTGCGTGCACGTGCTCAGAAAGGTACCAAGTGCAAAAGGGGGCCCGCGACCCTGACAATTACACTGCACATATTAAAGTATAATTAAAAAAATCTTGCTTGGAGCACAGGCCTCCACCGCCGCCTGGGCCCCTCACACAAGTACTGGCTGTACCCCACTGATGGCTGCCCTGGCCAGGGATTTGGATTGTGACCCCCCCATTCACTTGTGCGACCCCCACATGTGGTCGCGACCCACACTTTAAGAAGTGCTGCAGTAGAGCACCTGTAGAATGTACACTAGAAAAACTGGCATTACCTGCTTCTGTATAAATCAGAAAATCAGAGTTAGGAGCATTGAAACCTCGCTGACCAACCACTAGGAGGTTTGTAGCCAGTGGTGCATACTGGGAGAGGGCATACATATTCAGGAGTCTTACCTTGACCCTTCTGCCTGAGGGAGGTAAAGCTGGTGATTGTCTGATCCTTCTAGGCCTGCTGCCTGAGGAGGGTGACCATGTGCTTTGACTGAGACCTGGGTGTGAAACTTGGGGATGGACATGCCATAAGGGAACTTCAGCCTGTGTAAGGAGCCCAAGAAGCTGGGTAGAAGCTTGGTCCTTCACTGAAGTATGGAAACTTCTCTCCAAGGATTTATGAACTGTGACATCCCCCATCTCACAGTCAGGAGGTGAGTCCACAGAATGCTGGGTCGGCTTGAAGGTTCTTTATCTGTGAAGGCTGTACATGCTTTT